AGCACTCGCCGCATTCACGTAGAACACTGCTCGGTGAACAGATGCCATGAAGTACGGGTACGGCAATCGCGAGGGGCAGCGGTCCGGTTGTAGGTACCTATATTATTACTGTGACCGCGCCGGCAGCCCGCTTTCTGTTTGACTGAGACTTTATTTTTTCTTGGAGTTAAATTAAACTCTTTAAAGTACTAACAATTGTTTATTTACTTAGTAGAAGTATCCACTTATTGAAATATTAGTGATTTTTTATTAGTTTAAACCTCTAATATTAATATTTTTTTTGATTGCTGGTTTTATAAGTACATTTTGAATTTCTGATGATACCTAGCTATTAAGTTTTGAGTATGTAAAATTCTTAAAATTGTTTATTTGATGGCATTGTAGGTACGAATTGAATTACGTTGATTTCTTTTTAATTTAAAAACTATAAAATTATAGAATTTATTTTGTACTAGCAGTCTAGCACACATATTCGTATATTATAAACATACCTAATTATTATTTATTTATTTCACAAATTATGTTAATTGTATAAACGTATAATTAAATTTCGAATCATAATTAATTTTTACATGCTGTGTGTTTTTTTTCATCACCTTTTGCGGCAATAAAAATTATTTAGCTTTTTTGTGTACTAAACTCGAAAACAAATAACCGTAGAATATGTATACAGATTACAGATTTTTGAAATTTTCACCACATGTTTATATCATCATTATCTATACATGATAAAATGTTTAAATAATTAACTCTTTTTGAGCTATTATTTATATAGCCAAGAGATATTTTTGATTTATTAATTATTTTAGTTTTTTTTCCTATAAATGTAGATAATATATAATTTCCCGTTGTGTCAAAAACTTGAAAATATAATCAAGGACCAAGGTTCCTCATAGGTAGTTTTATATATATTTTTATATATTTAAAAATATTAAAGATACAATGGCACGATATTTTTTTATAAGCATTTGAAGTTTAACATTTAAACTATAGCATAATTTGTCAAAATCACGGAAATTGTGCAAATTATTTTGTAGTTCGAAATTCCTAAAAAATTGTCTTTTTATAACTAAGGATTGACAATTTAAAACAAGGTTTAAATAATTATATAATTCTAAATTTTATACCTATACTTTAATCTAAAAAATAAATAAACTAATTTTTTTTATGGATATTTTAAGTATACACTGGGACGCAATTATAAGTTTAAACATAGACAATACATTTTAGTTATTTGTTGTAATATAAAAATGTTATTCGTGGGTAGGTACTCCTTAGAAATAAAAGTTGAACATTTTATACATTTTTAACTACAAAATAATTATTCAATTTTAAATTTGATAAATATTGTCAACTTTAAATGCTTATAAAAAAAAATTGTACCAATGTATTTTTAATATTTTTCAACTGCTATTGTAACAATATATTAGGAGCCTTGCATTAAATTTTCACGCTTTTTTACGGCACAAATAAAATTTTATTGATATTTTTGATATTTATGGAAAAAAAACTAAAAAAATAGAAACTGAAAATGTCCGTAAATAGCTCAAAAAAAGTCAAAATATTTGGAAAATGTTATGGTGTATAGAAAATGCAAATAAAAACATTCAGTAAAAATTTCATGTATCTACAGTAGTTTTTTTTTAGAGACCAAAAACCATTTTGTCAAAAACTGGATATACTTAAAAAATCTCTGTTTTTCCTAAAATTTATTTCCCGACGATTTTGAAAACTCTTGGGATGTTTAAATTTTAATCTCTCAGAAATACCAAATAGATTCAATTTCCCACCAGAAAATACTTAAGTTGAAAATCGAAGCATTATTTTGACTATTAAACATACTCAAAAAATAATTATAAAAAACACATAATTAAGAATCATTACATTCGTCGCTATACTCAAAATATAAAACTAAACACTAATATATTCTATTTATATTAGTATTTACTAATGTATTTATCTACCTATATTTAACTATATAAAAATATATTTATGTTTATAAATCAATTTAAGTTTAAATACCAAGTACCGGCTTTTGTAAAATACATCCAGTAAAATCTTCTTTCCTTGCATTTTAATTTTTCTTTTAAATACTCACCACCATCATAGTTGCAAATTGGGTGGGAGCATTAGGGGCTAAGCCTAATATCCACACATTTCAATAGCCCCCTCAAACACATCCCGATTTTTTTTAAGCCTATACAATATTAATTATTATTATTATGGGGATTTAGCCCCCCCCCCCGAATAAAAAAATCTTATATGCTATTTATGCCTATGCACACCGCCGAACATGATAAAATACGCATCTGCGCAAGCAACAATTTGCTTCTGATCCAGATAGTGGCTTAATTTTAATAATTTTTCATTCACCCAATATTTTAGGCATAACCTCGATATGTGTATGGTAGCCCGGAGGTAGAACCACTTGCGGTACAAGTACTGCGGGCTCTGAGTCAACAGCTATGTGTTCCGACCCTAGTATAATATAGTCATAATTTATTTTATAAGTGTATAAGTTATTATTAGTTTACATTTTAATTAAAATATATATTCAAATCCAAATTTAAATTAACAACAGAAGGATAAACATTAAACAACGTTTGCTCCTCTAATAAACTTAGGCGAGGCAAAATAATTTTACCCCCACCGATGCAGTAATAGGCAGCAATTTTTTGTTTAAAAATATTATTATAACATTATATTAATATTATTCGTGATCATAATATTAGTTTAACTTTATTATAATAATGTAATAATATTATCATTAAAAAAGGCTGTCTGCGTGTTGGAAGTGGGGACTTTTACCTATTAGACCAATTATAGAGGTTTTTACCTATCTACTAAGTATTTAATATTACGATGTTATCTAATACCTACTTAATATTTTAATTGAAAGTATGTCATTATTTGTTATTCCTAAAAATGTATTTTTGTTTATCATTAGTTAAGATGCATTTATCTAGTGTATAAATAATAATTTCACTATTACTGAAAGTCTGAAAACTTTGTAAGCTTGAAAATGTAAAACAAGTTACCTTATTGGCCATTCTTGTAGAAATTTAAAAATACTGAAAATGCATAGACACAATTTTTGATAGGCGGTTATTGAGGTTTAAAATCAAGAAACTTTACAAATTATTTTGAAGTTGTAAATTCATAAAACTATTAATTATTTATAGATTGTAGATACCAAGTTAGTGCGTACTAATAGATTTTCGACTTATTAATTAATATGGGTACAACTAGGTAGGTATACAACTATACAAGTAAGTAAAGCTGGGATTTTAATAAATTTTTTTATGCCCTAAAAATTCTATATAATACACTGAAAAATTGCTAAAAAGTATTTTTTTCATAATTTTGAATTAAATGATAATATAAATTTGATATAAATCATAATAGACATTTTAAACGTGTTTTACTGATAGAATTTAACGTTTTCGACTTCTTTGATCTGGAAAAACAATTATCTCCATTCATTATTACATATATTTTTATAGGTTTAAATTATCATGTATTTATTAGGTACCTATTATATGCATAGTTATAGTTTGTTAAATAAATATAAAAATCACAAAAAAGTATGTACAAATCTTAAAATTAAATGTAAAATTAAAATGCTATAAGAAAAATGAAAAAATGACCTTAAAATTTAAAATTGTCAAAAAATCCAAAATAAAAACTTCTAACTCTGATTAAAAAATACACGAAACTTGCATATTATATGTGAATGTCGTAAAAAATGTAATATTCCTTACAAAAAACACATAGAAAATATTAATCAATATAACATAATAAAGTAATACACTATACCTAGTAGGTACTTGAACAGCGTTGAACTAATATATAGATTCTAGGTATTAATAATAAATGGGTATCAATTAGACATTAGTTACCTTCTATTATACTAATAACCAGCAACCATCTAGGTAGGTAGGTATGAATCGAAATTATTACAATTATATTTTGGACACATAGGTACCTATTTAAATCGACGTAGGTAGTGCCGTAAATAATACACAATTTAAAATCATATGGGTGTTTTAACACAATAATGCGTACCCATTGTATAGAGTATTATATAAAAAAATAATTTCATATTATTATGCATTTATAGTCCGTAACCCGTACAATAGTTTCGTTTTATTATCGCCTTTTATTGATTTTACGTTTGAGTGTTTGATATTAATTATTCTGTTCGGAATGATATACGACGGGCAGTCGTGGGTATAAATGTATAATACTGTAATACATTACATCATAATGTCATGTTTAATAATAATATGAACAATATTATATTTTAACTTCTAATAAATGAAATTCGTTCCATTCCCATTTACCTATCTGAAATGGACGTGTTCTTGAAATGAATAATTTAATAATAATAAGAAGAAGAAGTATAATAATAGGTATTATATAAATTATTCATATTTCATTCAGCGTTATCGACTCATCGTATTTTTTTTTTGGAAAATATTAAATATTAATGTTATCACCATTCACCAGACACCAGCTGCTCCTCCGCCGGCTCCCACGAGTTGATTCTTGGCATTGTGAGTACTTGTGATTCCGTATTATACATAATGGCACAATACAAATAATATATTGTAATGATAATTTATCATTGTTGTTATCAATAGCGATTAGTCCATTACTCATATTATTATTATTGTTCAGGGTTAAAAGAGGCTTAGAGGCATTATGACTGTTAGCGGTCGTACGTGGTGGTGGCGGTGGTGATGATAGACTTCCATAGTACTTCTTCACCGGAACATCGCATGATATATATTTGTCGAAAATAAAATCGAACTGACGTGACATTTTTATCACTGTTTTGTGATTATCGTCGTCGTCATCGGATATTATAGTTGTTACGCATCGATTTTCAGGCCGACTTCCAGAGCCCTCGACCGAGACCTTGGCCTCCGCAGTCGCCCAGGGACCACGTCTGAGATGTTTCATAGCAGTCAGTGTGCATCAACAATCGCTGTAGCAACATGTTAAACACGACGGTTATGGAAGGAAACGATTTCTATTTTCTCAACAATAAAACCAAGACTACACCTGTCGAAAAGGATTACAGAATATCCAATAACGTATTGGGACTGGGTATCAATGGCAAGGTGGTGCAATGTTTTTCCGTTAAAACCGGTGAAAAGTTTGCGCTTAAGGTAATATTATGCAACGTTTGACTGATGTCCGTTTTGACAAACGTTGTGCAATGACTTCAAAGGTGTCGTTTTACAGGTTCTCGTGGACTGTCAGAAAGCTAGGAGGGAAATCGATCTACACTGGAGGGCTAGCGGTTGCATAAATATAGTCAATATAATTGATGTATACGAAAACCAGTACATGGAAAAGAAATGTTTGCTGGTTATCATGGAATGGTATGTTATACTTTAAACATTTTATATTTAAAAATCTTATTTATAGTATAAACAATTTAGCATATAAATCATTTTTTAAATAAAATTAAATAGTTTACCCACAGTAAAGGTCCCCACACACTGTGGCGGTAGCGGTTATAGAAAAATGAAGCCGGAGACAATTTTACCGCCACCGCTGCAGTGTGTGGCCATAATAACTTATGGTTAGGTTAAGTTCTGAAAAATAAAAATAACTAATAATATTCATAATAATAAGATTATTTAACCATCAGTTCTTAAAAATAGTTAAGATAATTACTTAGTTCTAATAATTATTGTATTATCTCACTGTTAACAATTTTAGTCACTTACTAAAATAAAATTTTGTTTATGTTACAAAAAGCTAATAAATATACATTTGAAGTCTCAAAATAATTTTATTAATAATACAAGAATCCAACATAAAAATATTATGTTTTTTTATTAATTTTTCATCCCAGTGAAGGGGGCTGGAGTCTGTCAACGCACCTATATGTGTGAATCTTATCTGTAATCGTTTTCGGTCAATATTTCCTAGAAATTACCCGAATTATAACAGTAGGTGAGTTGTTTTCAACCAAAAAAATTAAAAATGCAGGAGAGAAGTCAACAAAGTATTAAGTAGTTATTAATTAGGTATTCTATATTTTAATTTTTACTAATAGTATTTTATCAATAAATATATTAATATATATTTTTATAGTTATGTGATTCAACCATGGTTTGTTTTGTTTTCCATCATATTGTTGATATATTTTTCTGTTAAACATTTGCCAACAAAATAATGGCCAACAATACAAATATAAATTGCTTTAATTTTAAGATAATGTGATGCATGTAACAATTATTGCATGCTTTTATTTAATTTTAATTTGCGATAAGTTATACCAAACGAATGTTTTTCTAGATAGCTCACTATCAGTACATTTAACAGTTTTTTTTACATAATATCTATATTAATTTTTCCTTCATTTTCAACTCAAAATATATATAATATGTTGTATGTGTATGCTGTGAAACATTTGATTCAACTAATGTATGAAATTATGGTTTAGAACTCAAACTTATTTATTTGTTCTTCAAATTATTCAATAAAATATTTAAAATATTATAATAGTTATAATAAAATTAATGTATCAGCTATCGCAATATTTTTTGATGATAAGGTTGATACAAATGTAGACTTTTAATTATACCTATACATAACATTTATTATTTATTTACAATATTACTAATTTCCCACTATTAAATCCACTATCCCACTATATAATAAATCTATTGAGAGTTGAGAATACTATTTTAATAATAATTTGTAAATGTGTGTAAGATAATAAGTAGATAATATTTTCTTTTAAGTTTAACACATTCAACGCCGCTGACGCTTATATGTGTCAACAGTTTATTCCAACAGGCCATACAGCATATATACATTCATATACGCTCTAATTAAATTGGATTTTTTTTAATAAACGCTGAACCTTAGATAGGCCATTGACAATGAACTCTAAATTTAAAGGTATAGGTGGTTTTAGTTTTTTTTTTTTTTCGTCATTTCTGAAATCACGGGCAGTGTGAACGTGTTAATTAGTCATATTACAAATTCTAAGTAATTTACAATATACAAACTAATAATTACTATAGATGCCTTTGGCCACGGACTTGGGAAAACAGCATTTGAATTAAAATTAAAAAATTTCTAAAGAAGTTTGATTCATAGGTACTAAAATGTAATTGTATAAAATATTCCTTCTACTGTTAAGTGTTAAAGAAAAAAAGAAAAATACCTATTTAAAAACTTAAGATTCTTTGCTTTACCTAAAATTTAAATTTTGAGTTTTTAATTAAAATAATTATTATTTGTTTGTCTAATTCTTTTGAGATTACCTTTTTTGTTACATTGTTCAACACTACTCTTTCTGGGAATTATTACTAAATTTATATCAAGGATATTATTACTCAAATTATATTATAATTAATATACAATTAAACATATTTTTAATATTAATGAAGTTACTCCATAGTGGTACTGATATTTATAAAAATTTGAAATATATTTTACTTACGGAGATGCTATTAATTCTACTTTAAGTCTATAAGTTTAAAAATATTTTTATTTACTTAATCGTATAATCACTAATAATAGTTAACAAAAAAGTCGATATATTGATTTCTAACATATTGGACATCTCCAAGTGAGAAAATACAAAAGCTATTATCTAAAATTATTCGATAATTCTACCAACACCTATGAAATAGGTAATAAAATGAGTCGTAACATGAATAAATTATCACAAAAATTATGAAAATTCTTTATATTATACTTTATTTCAAAAGACAATATACAGATTTCGTGATTTGGTTTATGTTTAACTTATTAAAATTATGTGATTTGTTGCCAATAACTTACCTACTTTATAGTCTTCTAATATCCGATTAATGGTTTTCAACGTTCTTACATATTTAACTACTTATAATATTTATATATATTTTTATTATATTTTTCTATTTGTAAAGAAAAAGTACAGAGGTCTGTTTAGTACCTTGGTATGTAATTTAAAATATCATACTGTATTAACTGAGATTCGAATTGTTTTTAAAATGTTTTTATCATTGCTTTCTAATTTTAAATAATAATACACCACTTTTTTCTAGCAAGTGAATAAGAAAGGAAAAACTGTCCTACCAACAACATAATTTATACAGATTTTCAAAATTATTTTAAAGTTAAATTATTTGCATTTAAAAAACTGAGGTTGATAAAATATATGTACCACTATATGTGATATATACAGTTACAATAACAATTTTTGATTATGACACCAGTTTTAGTACTTAATAATATTTTACTATTATTTAGTAGCCATGATGAAATTTTTTTTAAATTGAATTTATGTGAATTTAGACAAATATTTTATCCATAATAACGAGTAACCACACAAAAAATTAGTCATATTGTCAATGGATTAAGATTACCTATTTTTCCTGGTCCCTTGAACGTCATTATGCACAATTTCTACTGTAAATATTAGTTATATTAGTATACAACTATTATTTATATTATTAAGTTATTTATTTTTACCATTTTTTCTGCTGGAAAACATTAATTAGTTTTAAGTTATAAAGTGATAATTAAATGCTTAACAATGTATTTTTAGCATGGAAGGTGGTGAATTATTTCAACGTATACAAGAGCACAATGATGGGGCCTTTACCGAAAGGGGCAAGTTTGATAAATTTATAATATTTAATTAATAATTTAATTCAGAAAGATGTGCATGTAAAATGTAATGAATTAATTATATTATTTGTAGAAGCTGCACATATTATGACGGCTATTTGTTCAGCAGTCAAGTATCTTCATGACCTTAATATTGCTCACCGTGACTTAAAGCCTGAAAATCTCTTGTATTCTAAGCTAGGTAATAAACTTTAACTTAAGAAATCATATCTTAAAGATATATTAGCATATTACTTGTTAAAACTACATAAATAATTGTTTTTCTTTATAATTTTGTTGTTTCACAAACAACAAACTACTTATTTTAATTTTTTAATTTTCATTATCATTGATTTTATTTTCTGTATAGGTGCTAATGGCATTTTAAAATTAACTGATTTCGGATTTGCCAAGGAAGTATCACAAAAAGCTCCATTAAAAACTCCATGCTATACACCATATTATGTTGGTTAGTTTATAGCAATAGCTGTTAAAGTAAACATAATTATCTGTGTTAATATGTGTATTTATTTGTTATAGCACCGGAAGTTCTAGGTCCAGAAAAGTATGATAAAAGTTGCGATATATGGTCATTAGGTGTAATCATGTATATATTGTAAGTATACATAAATTAATTTAATATTCAACAAATAATATGATTTATCAATAAAATAATAAGAATATAAATTTGAGCATTAGTGCAATTTAGCTTAATGTGCCACAGTAGAATTTGCAGTGTTCTATTAGTATCATATTAGAATACTTTAAGTATAGAAAAATATCACTCCTTAATATTAGTGACTACTTGGTTAAAATCAAAGTAGTTAGGTATCATTTATTATAAAAAAAAAATTTAGAATAATATTTTAAGTGTCTTGTAAGAAGTTTTTACACATATTTAGAGTACAAAATATTATGTTCTTAATATTTTTTGTAATATGTTTTTATACTTAAATTGGAACCATTTAACAATGATCTGTGCATTTCAAAGTATGTATGCTGGGGCGTACACTGGGATGGCTTTTAGAAAGTGATTATCATTAAAGTTACAATTTAAATATGTATCCAGCGCGACGGTAGTGGCGCGAAGCTAAGTAAAAAAAAATAGCGGATTAGCCACTAACGTATAATAACAGGACACCGAGTTTTAACATTGAAAAATCGTCCTAATTTATGTCAATTCTTTGCCAAGCTCTACAGGGCAAACGGCTGAACATATAAAGTCGTATGAGGTATCAATCGATCATAAATATTGTGCAGATGGGAACAGAGGAATTCGCTTGCAGATTGGTTAGATAGTTTATAAGTTATAAGCAAAAATGTTCAAGTACTTTAAAGACTGATTTTGCGTACGGATCAGTGGGGATGGATAAACGGTGGGTCGGGGAACGAAAATATCGTAAATATCCCCCGACTCGCCGCTTATCCATTCCCACTAATCTCATCGCAGCGGCGACGACGTACGATGATTGGTGATTGCAACGGCGCGGTCTCTTGGATACCGGTCGTTGGCAACCATTTACTATTATATGATTTCGTGTATTGTTATTTGCTGACGAGTGACGACCAGCAAGATAGTATAATATAGATTATAGGTACTTTCTGACGACTCAACGACTGTGATTGTTTAGTGAATTTGTGATCCAGCTCGACGGTATCATATTATTATGCTGAAAACTTGGAACAATAATAAAATAAAATAGGCAATCTGGTGATTAATTCAGTACCCGTGGCAACAATTAAGGTCGATGGCAAATCATATACTCTTAATTCTGTGATTTGCCATCATGGTCCATCTATGACTCTCAAGTCTCAAGCCCATTACACATCAGTTATTAAACATAATAATAAAATATTGGTTGGATGTAACGATATAATATTTATGTTCTAGTTTTAGCAAAAAAAAAATTAAATAGAAAAAAAGATATGACAACATTAGGCTAACGATGCATATGCTATTATGGATTACTATTATTGTATACAGTAAAATAAAATCGCGACTTATTTCATAAAAAAAATAGCTGATATCACACCAAAAACACTTTGTTATAACTCCATGTAAAAAAAAAGCTAAGTAAAAAAAAAAATGTAGTCATGATTAAATCTTTAAAAGACGTGATATAATATGGAAATTAAGTAAAATTACATTTTATAATATTACAAATACCTATAATGGCAAATAAGATCAATTGTAATGTTAAATACTTAGTCAACATATTATGCTTAACTATTTGGCAGGACACAGAAGTATACTTAAATAAATACAGTTAAGTAATTACTACAGTATTAACAGTAATTAATAATGTATGATGTATCAACAATATGTTGACTAAGTATTTAACATAACAATTGATCCTATTTGTCATTATAGGTATTTGTAATATTATAAAATGTAATTTTACTTAATTTCTATATTATATCACGTCTTTTAAAGATTTAATCATGACTAAATTTTTTTTTTTACACGGAGTATAACGAAGTGTTTTTGGTGTGATTTTATATTAATTTAATTTTCCTATACTTACCTGCTTGATATTATTTATAGACTCCCCGCCCTTTCATAAATTCCTGGATCCCTATAGGTTTTAGTTTTACAATTCTGTCTGTAAACTGTTGCCAATTTTCAATTACTTTTTTTGTTCTAGATTGTGTGGATTTCCACCTTTTTTTAGTAATCACGGGCAAGCTATTTCACCTGGCATGAAAAATCGAATTAAAACTGGACAGTTTGACTTTCCTAGTCCTGAATGGAATAATGTATCTAGTGATGCTAAAACCCTAATTTCAAGTATGTTATCTGTAGATCCTTCAGTTCGTCTTACCATCAATGAAGTTGTGAAACATAAATGGATTGCAGTGAGTATTAAATGTATTAACTCATGATAATATTCAAAACATTTGATTTGTTTTAATAATTTAGAGCTATACCGAAGTACCACAAACACCGTTATATACTGGAAAAATGTTGAAAGAGTCCGAAGATGTGTGGCCCGAAGTACAAGAAGAAATGACCCGGTCTCTAGCTACAATGCGTGTGGATTACGATCAAGTCAATATAAAATCATTAAATACTTCTAACAATCCATTATTAAACAAACGACGGAAAAAAGCTTCAAACAGTACTTAGACTTTTAATAATATATTTATTTCCCAGATTATTCACCAAAACTGACCCCTTCCTTAATACCCATGTCTTTATTTTTTGTTGGTTTTTACTTTGTGAACTTTTTCCAAAGTTAATTTTTGTATCACTATTTATTTAATGTAGTTAATTATTATACATGTAATAGCACTCAAAAAAAAAAATAACAAAAATATCTTTTTCTTAAATGAATCTAGATAGAATTATTAAAATTACAGGAAAATAGTGCCATAACATAAACATTTATTAAAATATTAAATTATAAATTATCTGACTTCAAGGATAGAAAGAAATAATTTTAAAAGATAAAATTGCTTGAAAATAATATAGCTTGCAATATTTTATATGAGATAAGACAAATTAAAAGACAAGAGTAAAAAAAAATTAAGCAGATTTAAAAATAAATAACTTGATTAATTATAATATTTCATATCTTTAGCAATATTTTGAATACATAAAATTAAAACAGAAATTTTACCCTCTTACTATATAAATTTAAAAAACAACTAGATAATGGATGTATCTTTTATTTTTTGGAAATTGCCTAACATAATATGATTGTTGATTAAAAACTAAATTATTTATTTTGTTATAATTACCTTAGTGAATCAAGACTGTATATTTAGTGAACATTATTGCAATTGTTTTCCACATCTTTTAGTATGTTTTATTTTTAGTTTTTTGGAATTTAATATATATTTGCAAAGTTTAGCCAAGATATTATTTTTATTACGTAAAAAATATTAAAGTAAATAATGTACAAGTATTATTAAATGTAAACTGTATAACTATATTATAATCTACTTGAACAAATTAAAAATAAGTATACCTATATTCAATTATTATGACACATAAAACTTGTGATGCTTTATTATAATGAAATAATAGACATTTCAGTAAAACTAAATTTAAAAAAAAAAAGTTGTGTGTATAGAATATCTAATATTGGTTGTGATAAAATATTATTTTAGACATTGTGGTTTTCTATCCTTTTAATTTTAATTTTTATATTCCTGATTCAAGTCTATTTATACTTCAAAATAGCGTTAATATTATTTTGATTTATTTGAATGATATATTTTTTTTTATTCACATTGACTATTGTAAATAGTGTATCAATAGGATGTTATACCTACATGTGTTGTTAGGTTCATCTAATGGGCAATGTAAAAAAAATCGAAATTGTGGGTTCTATGAAAATTTAAATTGTGGGTTAATTTGAGTATTATTTGCTATATTGCCAGTTTGATAAATGAACACAATATATTTGGGTATAATGTCCTCTTAAATTATACTATTTTTTATTTGTGTGATACTAGTATCATTCATAATAGTCCAATTCATTGGCAGATGATTTTAATTTTTAATATGACGTAAATTTAAGTAACTCATTGAATTGTGAATGTAAACTAAACACCATATATATTTTTATTCCTATCATATATTTACACAATATGTTGAAATTGTAATTCAGAGGTATAATTATTAATAGCTATATTTATTTAGAAATATTATTAACTAGTATGACCTATAGATTATACAAATGTATAAATATTTTTATACTAAAATACCTTAATACATTATAAATATTTATCTATTAGTGTAACTACAAAACATAATATTATATATTTAATGGTATTAAGTTAAATATACAAAAATGCATTGTAACTTAATAATTAGATACACTTTGTGTTAGTTAGAAACAATTATGAATATTTTTATACACTACTACTAATTTAATGAAACTTGATATAAACTATAAAGTTAATATGAGATATGCAATTATTAAAAATTAAAACAATCAAAAGTCGATTAAATTTGTTGTTTTCAAAATGAAATTTGTTTCAATAGTACTTGTTGATTCAAAAAAAACTTTAAAAATATACAAACATGTAAATATACTTGTTTTCATTATATTTAAGTATTTAACACAAAATAGTTCATGTAACTGTTAAACTTTAATGTCTGTAATAATTTATTGGTAACATCTATGCTATAGTATGCTATACCACTACGTACATATTACTAGTATGTTAAGGGGCCTGTTGCCATTTTTTCAAATTTTCAGTACCTAATTATATAAAATTTGAAAATTATATTTTATATTTTTGTTGCCACCTTAGTTATAATACTATCTGACTAATCTACTGCCCGATACCTATTTAGGGGGGGGAGGGAATGTATTATATTGAAAAATATTACTTCACGAGAACAATTCTCGGGCCTTATATTTTTTATTTTATTTCTTATAATGGTATAATATAATTTGTAAAAAAACACTTCAAATTGTATGTATTATATTTAAAGACATATTATAAATTTGATATTGAAGTATTGAAATGTTGATGAGGCCTGTAAATTATTACCCTCTATTAGTTATAAAAAAAATTATCAAATTTGGTTGATTCTACATTTGTTGGTTCATTATTACTGTAGAGTGTATTTTTGTGTACAAAATTACATAGGCACCGGGCACCTTAAGTTGTAATATTAAAATTAATAAAAGGCTTAAAATTTTAATAACATTGTTTTATTACTATGCGTGCATTATTTCACTGATGTTTTTATATTGATATGTTAAGAGGTTATAATATATAATTATTGATTTATGATACCGATTCATAATGCTCTGTTTTCTAAAGATTATCTTTGAAATATAACAATTAATTAAAAATTATAAATAAAACAAATGAATTTTTTCAGTATTGTGTGAATTGATTCATATAAATTATATCAAATTTTGATTAGGGAGTTTATTAAGTAGATAATGAATGTAAAGAAAGTCAAGTATTTGTTTTTTTTTCATTAAACTAGTTAAAGACTAAGCAGAAAGTTTTAAGAAAAAAATTAGCTTATATAAATTTATAATTTCTGAATTTAAATGTTATCTAGGATCATAGAACCATCAGTATCTATTAATCGTGTCCGTTTGTCCCAGAAAATCTGGACACACCAGCAGAGTTCTCTGTTAAATGTTTAATTGCATTATAGCAAGGAAGGCAAAAGTTATTTCTAGGTTATTAATAAATTTAAAAAAGTGTAATAATTTAGTTTTAGTAGGTACTTCAATACTTTGCCTATAGTATTTTTTATGGTTTACCTAAGATGAAATTCAGGTTTTAAATTTATACTTATTCTAAGACTTGTAAGTTGTAGGTTCATCTTTTGTGTCTACCCCTATCCGCTTCATCCTTTTTCACATCTTAGACTATGTATAATATATGACTAGTATTAACTGTATTATAGATAATGTAGTACAACATTTTATATATTTTATGCACCTGGACACCTTGTAGTATACGAATGTGATATTTATATTATAAATATTTGTATTCCAATTTTGTCAAATATTATATATTATATTATTATGTAGTTTTTACATAGGTGTATAGCTTACGAGTTGTCCTACTCCAGCCAACCATAATTACTAATATGTGACTAAATTTATATTTTTTATTTTTAATGCATGCTGTATATAATATTTACATTTAATTGTTCATTTACATATATATAATATATATTATGTACCTACTATAGAGCATGCCAATGCTAAATAGTACATAGTAGGTAGTTATGAAATAAGATGATATAGGCAGGTACCTAATATCAATATAACAATGTCTAAAATTTACTCTGTTATGAAGTTCTGGCGAGTGGTGATTGGTTCTATTTAATACCAAGGACTTATCTGTCCTTATTTTTGATTAGATATAGACTTATGGTGACCACACATACTTTTTCTTTTGTCGAAATCGCCTTAATAGTGTTAAATTAAATTAATCTAAATTAAATAATTATACTCTATTTATGGAAAATTTCAGAGACTAATATAATTTTTCTTGATTCAATTATTTGTTTATATTTTCAAGTTTGATCTAATGAATTTATGCATATTAGTACGGTAGGTACCTATAGTACACAGTACACTAATACCGCATAATGTTATTCGACAAAATTTAAATGATCTACTACTACAGTTGTACCTCATACATTTATAAATATTAATATAAATAACATTTTTTTATGAAAGAGAAGTTAAAATTGAAATGTACTATTTTTAGATTTTTATATATATTTTTAATTTAGTTTGCAGTACAAATTTAAAAATAAGGATATGCAAATTTAAAGAGTAGGTAGGAATAAATGGATAAATGCATTCTAAGTATTTAAAACTTCCCCCTCACAAACTTCAGTAATTTAATACACATAAATACCTACCTACGTCATACATCGTTACCACGTCAAGTATTCTGTATCTGCAAATAAAGTATACTCCTTGATAGGTAGGCTCCCTATATCCGAGTTTCCCAAACTATTTCGAAATTAAAAGATGGTATGCAAAACAATATTAATTTCACTCTTTGGTGTGCTACTAGCGGTAGTAATAAGCAGAAAGTTTCAAATCGATCTGAAGGTGATGAAAATAATTTATCTAAGTCGTGGACTTAAGCTTTTGTAGATATTTGATCTGATTTAAGAAATAAAATAGTGGAAAAGAGTCATTCTGTCTTTAGTCAATCTATTTTACGTTACTTATTGTAAATATTGAACCGTGCCCACATAGTACATACACTATTATCATTACAGCCATATGCCTATATTTGTTTATTATTATGACCAAATACCTACAAAAAAAATTATATTTTCCCTAACAGTTGAACAAATATTAATTAGTTAATAATAGTTATTACTTAAAAATGTGTATTATAAGAAAGTTATTTTGTATTTTTGGTGTTGGTAAGTAAATAAATGGTAATTGACTGATAACTGCAGCAGTTTGCTTATTAGCTATAGCTATAGAATATATTATTATACTAGCTGTGCTGTTTGTTAAAAATATACAGTTTATTCAATTAAAAACCATTACAATATGTGACGTTTTTATAATTTCCTGAAATTAAAAGTATTATACTTAAGATGGCATGTTTTCTGTAACTTTACTTTGATAAAATAATATGACAGCCACGATGTACAGAAGATATAAA